AACACGTAAATTGTCAAGCGAGTTAGAAAAAAGATTTTGAAAGCATCTGCAATGCCATCATCTATTGAAAGAATACCTTCTGAAAAAGGCACTCTATTTCGACAGCATAGTGCCGAAATCTCAACAAGGCCGCAAGAAATGCCAACATTGCTAAAACATAATAAATAACGTATTCACTCTTGATTGTCGCCTGAAAACACAAATATTAAGTTTAATCTTTTATGAAAGATTAACGGTTCAATTCAAATCAAGCATTTTATAAGGAAAGGTTTTGACTGAAAATTTCAAAAATATTTCGAATTGTTGTTTCAGCCTTTCCATGGGAGTAACAATATTTATTTTATCATTTATATAGAGTAATACAATGTTAAAAATTTCTATACAATTGATAGCCTTAATAAACTAACAGCAAAATAATTGGTCATTAGAGTCCTACACTTTCCTGCAGCCGCCTGTGACGATTTTCATTGATGTGTCAGTTGTTAGATGTTGTGCCATTTGATGTTCATCGGATTTGATTGACGATTCACAAACGCTATAATCTCTCAAATAATTGAGTATGGCAAAGTATCGAGCACGATCAATATCAGTGTTAAAGGGCGTGATTAATGGCAAGCATGGCAGGAATGCACTTTGATCAACAGCAGCAGAAAAGCTTGCTGTACATGTTAAACTTTGAAAAACGTTTCGATAATAGCGAATATCTTGGCCGAATAAAATTTTCTTTTCGTTCGATTTGCTTTTGTGTACTCAAAAAGTGAGATTTACTTTACTTTTGGTCTAGGTAAATAAGTAAAGTAAAGGTAAAGTCTCACCCTACATGAACATTCACATTCTGTTTGTTTACGTACCGTATATATGATTTCTTATTCGAAAATTTTAGGAAAATTGTGTGGAGCATCGCTCAATTTAATGAGTAGTACATACCGTAACGCGATGGCCTAGTTGAATGTATAAACTGACATTTATCTTTATTTCTGCATTTACTTCCATAAGAACATAGTTTACGTTGAGGTGAGTGACTAGCTGAACAATAAAAATCAGTACATGCTGCTCCATTCTTGCATGCTTTCCATCCTGCTGGATGATCAAAAGAACAGTTGAAATTATAGCAATCATTGCTGTGTCTGCATGAGGTTTGAACGTTCATCGTCGATTTTGGCGGTGTTTATTGGGCATTTTTCACAAGATGCTGCGGGGTAGGTCCCGAACAAGAATTCAAGATATTTATAATATGAAATCCTACAATATAATGCATTAGAAAAACAAGTTCATTGTGAGAGAGACAAACTTGAGCGCGTGTATATGGATATGGGTCTTCTCTTCATTTGCACCGACACCAACTCACACCCACACCAACTCACACCCACACCATTTATCCAGTCAGGTATACTTTTCAAGTACGAAAAAAAGAATACTCAAACTATTACAGTAGTTCTTTACCCAACTGTGAGCGGTGATGAATTTTTACGAGATAAGATAATGAAACGACTAAAGAATCTATTAAGTCGTTCATTATCTTACTGCTCGTCTCCATGTTTGAGAGGACACTTGGTGTAAGCGACTGCTCGCTTTCTTTTCGTTCCATTCCTTCTTACATAGTTATGCATGTTTGTATTTTTTTGTGTTCTTTTGGGAGGAGGATAATAAGATATTTTGTTCGCTCAAGGAATTGAAAAAAGCATAATTGTTAACTTTTTCTTATTGTGGATAATAAAAGTTCACACTTGGATTCAATGCTTGCTAAGAAACTGTTGCGATCATTTTGTTCTTCTTCCTCTTTCATTTTAATTAGTTCCACTCTTCGAATATATTCTGCACCTGCTAGATCATCGAGTGAAAACGAACCACGAATAGCATCTACAATTTCATCGTTGCAACAACAGTAAACATAGAGATTAATTAGATTTGGAAAAAAATTCATCAAACGAGTAAATCTTTCCCAATGTATCCTGATATTGATTTCTAATTGCTCAATATTATCGAATCGATCTTCTACATTCGTGCTCTCGTTATTTCCATCTTCAAATTCTGAGATTTATTCTGAATTGATTGTCAGAAATGTCACATGAGGCAATCTTTTAAGAATCATTATTAAATCTAGAATCAATAAATTCTGACAATCTATGGTGAGCTGCTTGATTGGCAGATATGATACGTTCGCTGTGCAATTTGAAAAGTAATTCTTCCAAATGCTTTGAAGATTGTCATCGAGAATCATACTATAGCTTGAAGATAACAAATTACGGTTCAGATAATGGTGTTCATTATCGAAATGTATCATTCTGCGTAATTTATGGTCGGTTTGAGGGTTGTCAGCTGCATCATATAACCTTCAATATGGTAAGTAAAGCATTAATTTCGCTTTAAAAATAGAAAATGATGAAATTACTTTGTTCGTCGAAACTCAGATTGAATTGAAAACATTGAAATGCGAATTCGTGCCGTCCACCCATGATCATACCAAAATGAATCACAAACGAAATTTATCGAACTTTGAATGAAAGCTTCGTTTTCAGCGTCATCTTCATCAAATATGTTAGACTCTTCTGATTCTGATTCACATAAACGTATATTGAATACACGTAGATTGGAAAGTTTTGTATTCATCAATTTTCCCCATTGTTCATCGATAAGAAAACTTGAATACGAACGAGTTTTAATCTTAAGAGTTTGCAATTGGCAGTCAAATGCATCCAGAAGTGTTTCCAAGTCGTTAACGGTCATTGCAGAATCTTGAATAATCAGCCTGGTTAGGCTTGTTAATTTTGGAATCTTAGATCGCACCTTTTCCAGAGGTTCATTAGGACGGTTCAGTGATCGGAGGCACAAATGGTAAAGTTTAGGTGTATGCTTTATAATTGGCAATATTTCATTGATGTAGATTAAGTGTTTAATTACTAAATATTCCAGATTAATTGGTTCTTGATTCAGAGTCGATTGAATATATATATATGGACTGTCATCAGAAAAAGTGTCTGTCATCGAAATCTTAAGATATTTAAGAGACTTAAAATTCAATAACGTTTGATAGACAAGTGACATATCCGGCGGTTCTATCAAAATATTATCAATCTCTAAAGATAAGCGACAGATACTAGGTAATTTTTGCAGCTCTGAAAGTACAGGTAAGACGAGAGCCGGTGCAACATCTTCGAGGGTAACCGATTCGAGACGATGAAATGAGCTATCGATGCAACATGTACTGAATAATGTATTGATATTTGTACTGCCAACAACATGAATGGATCGAAGTTGATGCTGTTGAAGAATCATCATAAGATCACATTCTGCTTCAAATGCTTCTTTCGGTACTGGTAATCTATGAACGATCATTGGCGAAGGATAAAGCTTTATAAGAGTCGAAAAACGTTTGTTCAGTTCGAAAAAGCTCTGAAGAATCTCGATCCAAACTAGATGATCGAATATTTCGTATATTAAGTCATCACTTAAATCTTCAAACTTCGTGATGAATGTCCTAGGAAAAGACACTAGAAATATCTTATCAATCATCTTTCATTTTACAAACTCTGAACCAGTTGAAAGATCTATAGCAAAGGAAGAAGGTTCATAAAGTTTATCAGTTACAAGAGAATGTCTCAATTTACCTCGCTGTTTCTTTGATGTAGTTGACGTTGAGTGAATTGGAGAATATGCTCTTTTAGATGCTTCCATCGTCGAGTGAAATCTAGAATCTTGCTAAATTCTTGAAGGTGAGATGAATCCATCAAGATATAGTGAAACTCAGCAAGTTACGTGTTTTGAGTTAAGTTCAGAATATATAGTGTTGGGTTCACATGAATTAGTGTAAGATGCGCATTGTTTTCGAGTACTTATATTACTCATTTACGCCGATAGCTTTCAGCAATTTGCGCGCTACAAACCCAATGAAACTCTTTGGAATTCTGTTATCAAAAAGAACTTCATCGCATTTATCAACGAATTTATACTCAGAACGTCAATAACTTTTCGATAGATCCCCTAGTAAAACCTTATGGAATTCTACAGGATTCTTTTTAGGATATATTTTGATTTGTCCCTATTCTCTTATGAGTTTGGTAGATTTGGCAAGCTTATATTGAAATAGTTCTTTGTTGAGTTGGTTAGACAGTTCGTTTGCCGCTACCAGTGATGATCTGCGCTAGGCTGAAACAGCGTCTCTGATGAGCTGTGCTAGGTCTGAAGATTGTCTGCCACGCTGCGCGATGGTCTCTGAAGATTTTGTGTAACAGTCTATGATGGATACTCAATTCATGTGGTACTAATTAGTCAATTAATTGAAGCGTATGTCACGATCTGTAATCATTTCTGAAAACCGTCTGTCACGGTCTGTGATGGCCAACTAAGTAATTGCATAGTAATTAGTTAATTAACTACACAATTGAGGCGTCGGTCACGGTTTCCAACGGTCTCTTAACCTGTCGGTAATGGTCTGTGTGTGGGGGGGGGG